TTTAGTTTTATACCCATATTGCAATATTTCATTTATTCTATCAATTTTACTGAGAGAAATTTTCAAATAGGTGGCAAACTTCCTCAAAAATATTTTCGGCTGTGAGCCTTCTTTAAACTCTTTAGTTTTATACCCATATTGCAATATTTCATTTATTCTATCAATTTTACTGAGAGAAATTTTCAAATAGGTGGCAACCTTCCTCAAAAATATTTCCAGCAGTCATCTTTTTTAAACCTCTTTAGTTTGATACCTATATTGTAATAAGTCATTTATTTTATCAATTAAATTTAGTGAGATTTTCAAATAGGTAACAACCCTCCTCAAAAATATTTTCGGCTGTGAGCCTTCTTTAAACTCTTTAGTTTTGTACCCACATTGCAATATTTCATTTATTTTATCAATTTTACTGAGATAAATTTTCAAATAGGTGGCAACCTTCCTCAAAAATATTTCCAGCAGTTATCTTTCTTAACGCTCTTTAATTTGATACCAATATTGTAATATTTCATTTTATTTACCAGTGTAATTTAGTTAAACTTTGAAATAGGTGGCTACCCTAATCACACATATTTTCGGCTGCAAGCCTTCTTAGAACTCTTTAATTTGATACCCACATTTCAATATTTCATTTACTTTATCAATTTGACTGAGATAAATTTTCAAATAGGTGGCAACCTTCCTCAAAAATATTTCCAGCAGTTATCTTTCTTAACGCTCTTTAATTTGATACCAATATTGTAATATTTCATTTTATTTACCAGTGTAATTTAGTTAAACTTTGAAATAGGTGGCTACCCTAATCACACATATTTTCGGCTGCAAGCCTTCTTAAAACTCTTTAATTTGATACCCACATTTCAATATTTCATTTACTTTATCAATTTGACTGAGATAAATTTTCAAATAGGTGGCAACCTTCCTCAAAAATATTTCCTTAAGTCATATTTTTTAAACCTCTTTAATTTGATACCTATATTGTAATAAGTAATTTATTTTATCAATTAAATTTAGTTAGATTTTAAAACAGGTAACAACCCTCCTCAAAAATTTTTCGGCAGTAAGCTTTCTTAAAGCTCTAAAGTTTAATACCCACATTGCAATAATTCATTTATTTTATCAATTTGAATGAGTTTAAATTATCAAATAGGTGGCAACACTCCTCAAAAATATTTCCAGCAGTTATCTTTCTTAACGCTCTTTAATTTGATACCAATATTGTAATATTTCATTTACTTTACCAGTGTAATTTAGTTAAACTTTGAAATAGGTGGCAACCCTAATCGTACATATTTTCGGCTGCAAGCCTTCTTAAAACTCTTCAATTTGATACCCACATTTCAATATTTCATTTACTTAATCAACTTAACTGAGTTTAAATTTTACATTAGGTGGCAACCCTCCTCAAAGATATTTCCTTCAGTCATCTTTCTTAAACCTCTTTAATTTGATACCAATATTGTAATATTTCATTTACTTTACCAGTGTAATTTAGTTAAACTTTGAAATAGGTGGCAACCCTAATCGTACATATTTTCGGCTGCAAGCCTTCTTAAAACTCTTCAATTTGATACCCACATTTCAATATTTCATTTACTTAATCAACTTAACTGAGTTTAAATTTTACATTAGGTGGCAACCCTCCTCAAAGATATTTCCTTCAGTCATCTTTCTTAAACCTCTTTAATTTGATACCCATATTGTAATAATTAATTAATTTTATCAATATAATTGGCTTTACAAATTTTCAAATAGGTGGCAACCCTCCTCAAAGATATTTCCTTCAGTCATCTTTCTTAAACCTCTTTAATTTGATACCCATATTGTAATAATTAATTAATTTTATCAATATAATTGGCTTTACAAATTTTCAAATAGGTGGCAACCCTCCTCAAAGATATTTCCTTCAGTCATCTTTCTTAAACCTCTTTAATTTGATACCCATATTGTAATAATTAATTAATTTTATCAATATAATTGGCTTTACAAATTTTCAAATAGGTGGCAACCCTCCAATTTTTTGCGATATCATTGGTTCTGGTATTATACCGAACAATACAAAAAAAAATTGTTCAAATCGGTTCAGCCGTTCTCGAGTTTTGACGACGGTGACGTACGAACACAACATTTTTATTAATAAGAAGATATAAGATATAAGATATTTAAATCATATAAGTAGATATTGTTTTGACTTTATCGCATACTCAGTAAGTCAAAGCAACAATAATACAGTAGTCTTCACTAGAGCGCTTAAAATCAATTTGCGGCATAGTTTTAGGCGCAGTAGTAAAGACGATAGACAGCTGTTGAGTTTTGTCATTGGGGTGGGAATAGGGCTATTAGAATCGCATGGAATTGATACACAAGACGTGTATTGTGAAGCAGAAGCAGAATTGTGCATTTTCCAAAACAAAAAAAACTAAATGAGGAAGATATTCTTAAATTAAAAGAACGTAAAACAATTTTTTGTAAACTTTGGTCGTACTATGAAGAAAAAAATTAATTTTAATGACGAAGTTAATCATTGTTCCACTAATACACTTATTATTTCAGAAGTGTGAAATTGCCTGAATAGAAGAAAGCAATACAGAATTTAGAGCTCAACATCTTGATTTAAAAAGTTTTGTCAAACGGAATATTTGTGAGTTTTGGGAAAAAGTAAGAATCACCAAAAATGTTATAAATGAGCCACTGTTTTCAAACAAATACAACATCGCTCAAGGAGTGTTATCGATTGCACATCCTTCAGCCAATGTTGAAAGGCTCTTCTCCATACAAAAATTAATAAAAACAAAATGTCGAAATAGACTTCAAGTAGAAATATTTTCTCTTTTACAACAACTAGAGACTGTCTTAATTCTAGTGGACAATGTTGTCATAAAATAACATTGATAAAAAGTTCAGACACAGTTCAAAATACGAGTAATTATTTACTGAATTATTAATTTTTTGGAACTTAATGACAACTTTTTATTAATTTAAATATATCTACATATGTATTCATTATAAATCTTTATGTTTATATTCATACATTTATGTACTTAGATACATGCATTACATGCATTTAAAATCATAATAATGGTACTCATTTAATATGGCATTTCTGTAACAATGGCAAAATTGCAAAGTTGCCACTACGGTTAAATGAGCGCCCCATTGCAAAACTCTTACAAGTCAGGTGTTTTTATTTGTCAAAAGTAAAAACTAAAATGCCGAGAATTAGTGAAAAACAAAAACTTCTTAAATTATTGGAAATAACAGCGCTAAATGATTTGATGATTGCAGAATTTTTTTGTGAGGACGAAGGTATGAACTTAAACCGCATTGTATTTTATTTCGTATGACTATATTTTCATTTTTTTGGCAGAAGAGAAAAGAAAAAAAGAAGATGAAATATTGGAGGAACTTGTGGTTGTGTTGGCTCTGGGTGCAGAATGCAGATACAGTGTACCATTTATTCAGAATAGTGTACCTAAATGTACGGTTTTTTTAAAAGAAGTTTTATGGGGCTTGATGAGAGCAGATTCAAGAAGATCACACGTGTGAATTGGAAAACTTTCGATATTATTTTAAATTTAATAAAGGACGATGAGCTTTTCCACCAACCTCGATCATGCAAACAATTTCCTCTTGAAACGCAACTCGCAATTGTATTGTATCGCTTAGGCTCAAGCGGGGAAGGAGCTACTCTCTCGAAGATTGCTGGCTTGTTTGGAGTTAGTGATGGTGGTATCATTCAGGTCTGAGTCCTTCATTGTTTTCCCATAGTGAATATGAACTTTTTTTTACTTTAGAATTTAACTGAAAGAATCTTTAAAGCGCTATTAAAACACAAAGATGAGTTTTTGTTTTGGCCAAATACCGATGAACGCAAACAGCTCGTGTCAGAAACCTGGAATGAATTACCTAATTGTGTGGGATACGTTGATGGTACAGAAATTCCATTGGCGGAAAAACCATCACAAGATCCAGAAGCGTACTTTTCACGGAAGCACATCTACTCTGTTAAAGCTCAAGCCGTGTGCGATTATAGACTGCAAATAAGACATTTGGTGTTAGGCTATCCGGGTAGCGTACATGATGCACGTATTTTTAATAATTGCGAATTATCGAATCAAGCAGATAAATTTTTTGGAGGAGCTGAATGGATCGCAGGTGACAGTGCCTATAAACTGTCTCGCACTGTTATAACACCATTCAGAGACAATTCAAGAGAACTAACACAGAGCCAAAGAACTTTTTTCAACAAAACATTCAGTAGTTATAGGATTAGAATTGAACACTGTTTTGGCATGTTGAAAGAAAGGTTTGGCAGTTTAAAAGGTTTAAGACTTCAAATTAAAGATGAAAATGGAATGAAAAATGTTAACAAATGGATTCTCTGTTGCGCATTGTTGCACAATCTTATACTCCAACAAGATGATCATTTCGATTACCAACTCGAGGAATCGGAGCAGGAAATTGACGAGTCATTACCAAGTGCTATAACTAATGGAGGAGATGCAGTGCGACGAACAATCTGTGAAATGTTAATTTTGGCAAACAATCAATAAACAAATTTGTATAGACAATTCAATTGCTTATTTATTTTATACAAATTAAATTCAATTTCAATATACCTACATACATACATATGTATGTACATATTTATGTATGTACTTATGTACACACATTTATATTTAAGGCATTTTATTATTTTTCAGACTTTTGGTGTCATAAACAAATAAGTAGTTAAAACTAAAGCGATGTGACTAACTAATGTCGATAAAATTGAAAAAGGGTATTTAATATTAACGATTTATTCAAAGATGACTAAGTCCTACTATAAGTGTAAATAAAAATTGCTTCAGTCCATTCCATAAGGATTTGCTGGTGTAGATTGTGACATATGAGTCGATACATAGAGATCGTCACCTGAAATGCAAAAAGAAGTGAATTTAGAATTTTCTATTAGTTATGACTTTTTTCATTTCAACGATGATGTTTGTTACGCCTTTTTGCATTTCAGGTGACGATATAAACATAAATAAAATAAATATCGCTTAACTTTCCATAGTTTTTTCTTCGCGAGATGCCCCCAAGATCTATTTTGTAAAGATTTTTATAGTTTGCCAAAAGCTACTTCAAATAGACAGCAAGAAAAAATAAACACAATTTCTCAAAATAATCTTACGGTGGCATGTTTGATATGTATCGACTCATATTACGAACACATTTTGGCAACTTATTAGTTATTTGCACTTTTCAATCTTTCGTGCTCTAATCGTAATTTTTCCATTTCGATTCTCTCTTCTTTCTCCAGCTGTAGTTTCTGCAATTTAAATTGGTTTTCCTCTTTTTCTTTTTCCAATTCCAGTTTTTGTGTTTCTAGTTCCACCTTTTTCTTTTGAATTTCAAATAATAAAGCGAATGAGTTCGAGCTTTGAGGTCTCTTCAAATTTCTTTTTGGTGTGGTTGTATTGTTTAGTGTGCGAGTATCTGATGGCAAAGTACAAGGCGGACTAACTTGGTTCTCAGAAAATGTTGGAGGAAGTATAACCGACGGACTTACTAATGGACTTTCAAGTAAAGTCGTAGAAGATGTTTCATAATCAATTTCTAATAACGCCTCCTCTTCATTATTCGCCAGCGATAAGATTGGCTCTGTAGACTGGTAGATAGCTGGCGGCTGGATATTTACGCGCCGTGCAAATATTGCGTGCAGGTCATCATAAAATGGACAAGTCTTTTTGATGTATTCTTCAACACTTTTTACATCTCCACTCTCAAGCAATCCTGCTCCCGTTTGGCCTTTCCACTTGAGTGCGGTCAAAAAACTTGTTTTAAGATGCCTCATTTTTGTACGCATAGTATCCCATTTGATGTTGCGTAAATTTGGTGCACTTTCCGTAATGCGATCATAAAATTTTTGAGCAGTTGGTTTCTAAATTAAATTCATAAAATATACAACAATGTAATAATAAAAAATGTAAGAATTTTACCTCAAACTGTTCCGGATTAGCCTTCACATTGTCAAAGACAATCGTAAGTAAATCTCTAGTTTGCTGTTCTGTCCACCGAAAAGTGCCATTAATCCGTAATCGTTTTTTCTATAAATGCATGTACATAACAAATTCATTTTTAAATATTAACACAATAATATAATTGTTTGTACTCACGTCTTCCATTTTATATTAAAAACAAAAAGCGCGCTTCTGATTAACAGCTGATATTGATTTGCGACAAATTGCCATAGATGCCACTGAAAATAGTCTCGCATAGTTGCCATTTTATCGCAAAACAAATTGCATGTAAAAATGAACAGCTGATTTGCGAGATTGCCATGTTGCGAAGTTTGCAACAAATGCCATAAGTTTGCGACATTAAATGAGTACCATTAATATCTGATGCAAAAGTGAGTAAAGTTTTATGTTAATAAAATAAAGGTAATAATGTTTCTAAACTTTTAGCAATTATTTATTTGTACTTTATTAGGAACAATAATAAAATTCAAGTTGTACACAATAACTAAATACATATTAGAAAAATAATTGGAGTCAAAATTTTTTACAATTTAGTGATGAAAAGTACGATTTGAATTACATTTTCATACGAATTTGGAAAATGCAATTATCAACACTGGTACATGCTGCTCGCTGTAAATCGCAAACCGTTAGCCAAAACTTTTTCATTGCGGCTTTTTGCGTATTATTTTCTCTTATTGTTTGACTTACTCTTGTTTGATTGAGTTCCCGCAGGAATAGTTTTCATTTGCCAAACAAAGCATAAAATGACAAGCCAAAAGCGCTAATGAAACTACAAAGAAGTTAAGACATGGGTGGGAGGTAATCGCATGATACATACAAAGTTAGTTAAATGAAAGGAGGAAGTTTAAATGTGGAAAGAATGGCACCAGCAATTATGATCGGTTAAAGCCGCGAATAGTCACACAATGTGACGAAAAATAATAAAGCACATCAAAGAAAGTTTTTTCTAAGCAAAATAAAGCTGCGCGGACTTTCATACTATACCAGTAAGTTAAAAAGGATTATTTGGCACTGTCCTCGTAGCCCCAATGAATAAATATTTGTGAGGACTATTAATTACGACCCCTTTGCACATTTAATTAACTAAGCGACACAGACTGAAGGCGACTATACTTGCTAGATGTTACAAAAACACAAAATGAAGAAAAAAACTTGTTGGCCGTGATAAAAGTGTAAATTAATTTACTCGTAGTAATGTGAAGCATAGCTCATTGGTAGAGCTGGGATACTATCGATAGTACCGCCACTCGATAGTTTTTGAGGCGATAGTTGAAAACATCGATAGTACTATCGTCGTGATCCACATTATGTAACAGTATTCAATTGAAACCCTCAATTCTTTGAGAATTGATAAAAAATTTATGAATTACTTTGTAAATTACATTTACATATTTTTTGTTGTGTACATCTCTGGTTTCGGTAGGGGTAAAATTTGCGAAGTTGTAACGCATAGCCCAGCAGAAACTTTGGAAGGGCCAGCATGTGTATTGCAGCAGAAAATTTTTAATTTCATTAGGAGCACCCCATGTTTACTTGCTTTTGCAAATGGTTGCATACATTTAGCCATATGTAGAGTAAGATTAAATGCGGTACAAACCATTATTACTTCCGATTATGCAAACTCCGCGCATGCATACGGCTATGTACATATATGTATACATAGTTAAGTTTGTATGTACATTAGAGTGGTCCAATTTTTGTATGGGAAAAAAATTTCATCCTAGAAAACGGGGCACCGCCTTAGTTTTTTTCCTTTTGATATTTGTAATATCTATACCAACTTTCAGTTTTCTACTGCAACCAATACAGGGTGCTAAATGATTTGAAATGCGCTACTGGATCGTTGTGAAACTGGCAATAATATCGGTGATTTTTAAAAAGAGCTACTGTTATGACAACTGAAGCTTGTGATATTTTAATAGATAATTTAAATTTGAAATATTCGTAGGTTACTTAACCTACTGTTTGATTAATATATGCACACAATACTTCTCGAGTAAAATATGAGCATCATGAGCATCCTCTAAATGAATACTTAGAAACGTAAGGTTTGGTACCAGCACCTCTTTCGGCAAGAGGAAAAATTTTGGAAAGTGTCCCAAACCATATCTGGGAAAACATTTTTTTGGACCACTTTAATGTACATACATATGGATGAGCTCTTTTGCTGAAAGTGGTTTTTATATTCGTAGCATGGTTTTAGGCATATGGTTAGTATGCTATTGATAAAAAAGCAAGGCGAAAACTTTAAAAATTTTGAAATCATTTTATCCAGCAAAACCAGCGTGACCGAAACTCCAACACAAATGCAAATTTGATGGTGTTACTAACACAGCTGTAATATTTTTTGATTGGAGTGTCATCTATTGTTTTTTTTGTGCGAGCTATCTTTTGCATATGACTAAGTAGTCAAGCTAATCTTTTCACATATGAGCACGCAGGCAAACTATTTGGTTTGAAAAATCACACGTACAAAAAACTTCTACGAGCATTTTTGATTCACTATTAATAATGTGATAGCAAAACGTGCCGAACTTAGCGGGTACGCGTGACGGCCACGTCACTAGGAAAGTACATACATGTACATTTACATATGTATGGATGATAAAATAGCTCTGATCCAATATTTTCCGTGTTAAAAGTGAGAGTAAAGAGTGAGCAACAGCAAAAAGTACGGGAACAAAAAAAGCATTGGGTAAAATCTTGCAACTTCATTCTCTACACAACTCTCCAAAAACCGCTCTCATTTACAGGATTTTGGAGTACGGGATCATTTTTCCTGTAAGTTCGTGTAAAAACCTGTTAGTTCATTGAGTACTGGATCAGATCTAATACAAGATTGCAGAAAGAGATGACGAGAGGAAGAGTAAATGCCAAACAAATAAATTTAGGTTCCCATTTTGCAAACAAAAGTTGTTATGTTATATGTATTCATGACTTTAACGTAAAGCCACCGACAGATGAAGCAGAACCACAGATTATATTCCTAAAAGAAGGGCTAAATTTAGGAATATATACAAATAGAAGTGCTCAAACTACACACAGTCACAAGTATATCAAGTATCATAAAATAACTTTTGAAATCGGTTCATGTGGTCCAAAGTTATGCGGTAGCATACATACAAAAAAACATATTCCGACGAGTTGATATCCTCGAACTTTATTTGTAGTCGGTTAAAAATGTTTGAGTTCTTTGTTAATTTTATGTAAATAAAGTGCGATTTATGAAACTTTAAAAAGTTTATTTATATATTACATACTACTGTACATAAAACTTCCACAAATGAATTTTAAAGAGCGTATTATCTGAAGCGAAATTTCTATATTTCCTGGTGACACATCTTTAGAAGTATAAACCATGTGCAAAATATAAAAAATACAACTAAGTATCATCAAAATTTCAATATTTATAATTAAAATTTCTATAAAAAAATGTGTATAGAGTTTTATAGTATAACAAATTTTAATGCATATAATTCGGTGCAAGTTTGTAGTCACTAAAAATCCCCATGATTCTTAGAATTGTTTTTTTTTGGTGACGGTGTTGTGAACTTCCTTCCATATAAGAAAAATTAATTTACTAAATAAATTGTGATTTCCTGTAATTTATGAATATTTTAAATTTTACTTTTTCTTGAAATCGCCTCGAACCATGAAGTTGTGTATTGATGTGAAGAGAATATGTAGTGAAGTGTTGCTAAACACCGACATCGATAGTTTTCAAAAACTATCGATAGAGGCGACAGTTTTCAACTATCGATACTATCGATAGTATCCCAGCTCTACTCTTTGGTTAATAAGAATAATAAAGATTGGCGCTTACACAATATGTTAGTGTTTGGCCAAGTTTCTCCTCCGATTTGTAGCGTGCACATTGATGTTATCACACAAAGGGTAGAGACCTACAGTTTTACGCCGACTCCGAATGGCGATTGTATTTTAATGAAAAGCGGTTTTTCATGGCAGAATTACATTCGGAGGCTTCCCATTGCTACCCCGCGCCACGCCGCGCCGTTCGCGCACGTACCCTCATCCCACAGTGATATTTTATGCCCATAATTAATAAATTAGTATATTCACATGAATTCAGGTTTAAAGAGGTTTTAGTAGTCGCTGAATTCGAATCTGAAGTCAAAATAACAAAAAATAAAATGGCCGATCCAGTATGTCGCCTAAAATCTTAAACAGCTTAATTCGAATCTGAAATCAAAATAACAAAAAACTGAATGGCCGGTCCAATATGATGCCTCATATTAAAAGAAATAATAATAATAATAGATTGCCGCTTACACATATGTTAGTGCTTGGCCGAGCTTCTCCTCCGATTTGTGGCGTGCGCCTTGATGTTGTCGCACAAAGCGGAAGGGCCTACAGTTTTACGCCGACTCCGAACAGCGATTATATTTTTATGAGAAGCTGTTTTTCATGGCAGAAATACACTCGGAGGTTTGCCATTGCCTGCCGAGGGCCGACCGCAGTTAAGAAAAAACCTTTTTTCTATATTTTTTTGCGATGTTGCTTTGACCAGGGCTTGAACCCAGAAAATATATACATATGTTTAATTCGAAAAAATATTTATTAAACTCGCGTAGTATTGACTTATATTAGCTTTTCTAAGTTTGAATTTAAAATTCCTAAGTAAAAATGCTATTGAATTATAATTATATTCAAAAATTTTTATGAGCTTGAGGCCGTTTTCAGTGAAAACTTATTGTGGAAAAGCAACAATAATATGAAAAAATGATAGAAGTGATTGCTATTTCGGAGATCACCACATTTCCTCATCAGACTTCTTTCAGTAGGATTCGAACCGACGATCATCACTGACTCAGCCATTTGCCTACGCACTGTGCTAAGTTGTCTTGTTAATTCTTGTTGCTTATTTTCCACTATTTAACTTTACTAAGCCAACTACAATCAAGCGCAGCTATTCCGCTGCAATTCACTTGATCATGTGGTTGTTGGTTTTTGTTAATATTTCTATTATTAGAATGTTTAACTTTTTAGGTGTGCTCGTCCTTAAGTTATTTGTTTTTGTTATTTTTATGGCCTTATAACAATTATATTCAACAATTTTTATGAGCTTGAGGCCGTTTTCAGTGAAAACTTATTGTGTAAAAGCAACAATAATTTAAAAAAAT